GGATGAGCATGCCGGGGATGGGATATGCTTTCCCAGCCTCCAGATGAGCGTGCCAAGACCGGGATGAGCTTTCCCAGCACCCCCGGGAGCTTCCCAGCACCCGGATGAGCGTGCCAGGACCAGGAGGAGCTTTCCCAGCCTCCGGATGAGCGTACCAGGACCGGGACAAGCTTTCCCRGTACCCAGACCAGCTTTCCCAAGGCCCAGCAGTGCATCCCAGGGCTGGGATGAGCATTCCTGGCCCCCAAATGTGCTTCCCGACACCCAGATGGGCTTTCCCAGCTCCCAGATGAGTGCACCGGGGCTGGGATGAGCTTCCTGGCACCAGGATGAGCTTCCCAGCTCCCGGATGAGCTTCCCAGCACCCACACAAATGCACCAGGGCCGGGATGAGCTTCCCGGCACCAGGATGAATACATCGGGGTTGGGATGAGCTTCCCAGATGAGCGCACTGGGGTTGGGATGAGGTTCCCAGCACCCGGATGAGTTTCCCAGCTCCCAGATGAATACATCAGGGTTGGGATGAGCTTCCCAGCACCTGGACGAGCGCACTGGGACCCCCGTGAGCTTCCCATTCCCCAGACAAGCTTTCCCAGCACATGGAGGAACATTCCCAGCACCCAGAGGGGAACATTCCCGGCCCCGGGACAAGCACGCAGAGGCCAGGATCCGCGTGCCGAGCACCGAGGGGCCGCGCCGGGGCGCATCCCGGCGTTCCCGGCCCCCGGAGCGCCCCGGCACTCACCGTGGGGTCCATCTTGCTGATGGCRTCCTGCAGCATGAGCACGTCCTTGACGTCGAAGCACTTCTGCAGCTCCTGCGCGCGGGCAGTGAGCGCCACCGCCCGCCCCGTTTCGGGGCCAAAAGGGGCCGTTTTGGGGGCGCGGGGTACTCACGGGCGGGAGCGACTCGTAGACCTCGACGGGGTCGAGGCCGCCGGGGCCCAGGCGCTTCTGGCGCTCCTGCTCCTCGTATTCCTTGACGGCCTGCTCCACGCGCGCCTTGGCGCGCCCGCGCACGCGCTCCTTGAACGACTCCACCTCGTCGTAGAGCCCGTCCATGTAGCGCTGGTCGGCCGTCTGCGGCCGCCGGGAATGCCATGTCGGAATGCGGATCGCGCTCCGGGCGTCCCGGCGCGCGGGGCCGGCGGGCTCACCTTGATCTTGGCGAAGAACTGGCGGAAGCAGGCGCGCGGATCCACCTTGAGCCCCTTGGCGAGCTCCAGGATGAACTGCATGACRATGGTCTGGTGCGCGACCTGCTCCATGAGCGCGTGCTTCTGCGGCGGGAAGGCGGCTCAGCTCCGGGCGCCTTCCCGCCGGGAACGCGCCGCGGGAGCGCGCGGAGCCGGCGGGCGGCTCACCTCCTCCACCTCCAGGTCGACGCACCAGATCACCAGGTAGTTGGCCGTCTCCTCGCACACCAGGTGGGGATTGTCCGCCAGGTACTTCTGGCTGTCGTCCCAGCGCCGCAGCATGCCTGCGGAGACGGGCGTTCCCGGGTAAAACTGGGGGGAAGAGGAGGGAAAGCGCCCGCCGGAGCGCTGCTGCTCCGCGGCGGCTCCGGAGGGAAGAGCCGCGCACCAAAGTGCTTGATCTGCTTCTCGTTCCGCTCCACGAACGTCTTGAGCTTCTTCTCCTTCTGATCCTCCGACTCCTCCTCGTCCGTCTGCTTCACGTTGAAGACGCTCTGCGGGAGCAGCGGGATGTGAGAGCTCCGGGATCCCCGTGGGGCGCTCCGGGATCCCTGACGGGCACCCCGGGATCCCAGCCCTGTGCTCTGGGATCCCCGATGGACACCCCAGGATCCCAGCCCCATGCTCCAGGATCCCCGATGGGCACCTCAGGATCCCATCCCTGTGCTCCAGGATCCCTGGAACCCCATCCCCGTGCTCCGGGATCCCCACCGGGTGCTCCAGGATCCCCAATGAGCACCCCAGGATCTCATCCCCATGCTCTGGGATCCCCGATGGGCACCCCGGGATGCCATCCCTGTGCTCTGGGATCCCTGACGGGCACCCCGGGATCCCATCCCCGTGCTCCGGGATCCCCACCAGGTGCTCCAGGATCCCCGGAACCCCATCCCCGTGCTCTGGGATCACCACCGGGTGCTCCAGGATCCCCAATGAGCACCCCAGGATCCCATCTCCGTGCTCCGGGATCCCCACGGGGTGATCCAGGATCCCCGATGGGCACCCCGGGATGCCATCCCTGTGCTCC